GGCTCAGTGAGGACCAGGCAAGATCCGCGCTTGTGGGCTGTAGCCGCGGAGTGCGGCTCCCTCCTGGGGGGTTGAGAGACGCCCAGACGGCACCCGAACCCGTGCTTGCGTCCTCCTTCACTTTTTCCATTGACCAGTTCAAGTTTTCAGAGGGCGGCCTTTTTTGAAGGTGAATACCATTTAAGCTAAACCTGAGTAACAGTTTATTTAGTCAGAGTAACAGTTAACAGCCCTTGTGGAATCGCTGGTTTATGCCTGAAAAGGAGACCTTGGCCTACATAGATTGCACATAGGGGTTTTGAAATAATGTCCTGTTCTTCCGTGACCTGCCTCATCTTGAGCAACAGCTGTCTTCTGTGTGGCAGGCTTTTACTTATGGCCAGGTATTTCCCACTCTTAAGCCAGAATACAGAGTATTAGAAGGCCAGATGCCGGTGTCCGAGTTTAGCTGGAAGCCACTTTTTGTCAGAAGTTGGGTCAGGCAGGAGCACGCAAGCGGTGCACAGCTGTCCTGTGGAATTGTCGATCGCTGGAGGCGAACTTTGGACACTCAGGAGGAAAGTAAGGGCCTCAAGAATGGAGTGGTGCGCCCATGGTCCCTTAGCTGTGCTTTTTTGGAGCTGTGTGGAGGGGGAAGAGAAGGCTATATTCGTGATTACACTAGCACTCAAATATGTTTTAAAAATAGTGCAGCTCAGCTGTTTGTTTTGTAATGGTCTTGTAAGAAGCAGGTTTGTCAAGAGTGTTAGGTTATTGACTGGTGGCTGAATGGGCCACAGTTCTTTGGTTAGATATCAGCACAAAACTACTGAAATGTAGTAAGTTTACTGAGCATCCTATGGCTGGCAGCTCAGACTTTTGAAAAACCTAGAATTTAGTCTCTTGGTGGGTTTTCCATTCTTTGATGACTTAACTTTTTTTGCTTTGGTTGTAGTTTAGACTATAACTTACTTTTGAAAATGAATGAACTTACTGTAGTCTTGTAATACTAAGATGTCTAATAGACTAATCAAAGCATCTAGTTGTTTATCTTGAGTGGATCCACCTATGGGTTGCATCAGATAATTGCTTAATAGTTCGTGGGTGATTAAGTGGAATGAAAACAAAAACCCTACACAAAAGCGGAAATAAATTAGTTCAGATGAATAAATAACACAAAAATAAAAGGACATGTCCTGTACTGTTCCTATCCCCCCTACATGTCTAATTTGTGCAACAGAATCCGCCAGATGTGATCGTTACCCATTTTGCAGTGGTATAGCTTATTTAGAAAACTTAGTCTAAGTACTTCAGTCGTAAGTGGGACGTTTAATTGGGAAAGGCCATATTCTTGGCTGTGTGCCTAGCAGAGTGTGGTTGCTTTAAGGACACCATTCAGGAATCTTCAAAATTAATTTCAATTTAGAGTTGAATATTTTTGTCACCTGCATGTTCTCTCTGAAGGAGAAAAACATCACTGCATGGTTCTATTTCAGTGATTGTCCTAAAATAGCTGCTTGATTTATTATGGTCAAAGTAGACAAGAGTATGAAAATTCACCTAGCAAGATCTCAAGCCTATCACTTTTTGTAACTGGTCACAGAATATTCCGTGGCTCCGATGTATTTTGTATTTTTAAAGGTCATACACGTTTTTAGCTCAGTTCTAAAACATGAACTTGAATTAGAAACTCTTTAAATGCCTCCAGTGTAAATCCCTGTGTTTCCCCAGCCTCTTCTGAAACAGTCTCCTTGGAGCAACCACCAGAGCAGTGGCTGGGGCACTGGAAGCATGTCGTGGGGAGCGGTGCATGGCAGAGATCATCGCAGGACTGGAAACATGGGCATGCCAGGAACTATGAACCAGATTTCGCCATTGAAGAAGCCGTTTTCTGGTAATGTCATAGCACCACCGAAATTTACTCGCTCCACTCCATCACTGACTCCCAAGTCTTGGATTGAAGACAATGTGTTCAGAACAGACAACAATAGTAATACACTCTTACCCTTACAGGTAAGAATGGTATGTAAGTGGCTTTACTTCTAATCCTCATCTTTCAGTCGAGTAGTTTGGGTGGTGGTAGTATGTGATAAAATCAGTATATTCAAAAAATGTTCTAGTTTTTAGGTATATGATTAAACTATCAAAGGATAAAATACCTATGTAGGAAAAATTGAGACTGTAAGAATCTTCTAAACACTAACAGCAAATAAGCTTCACCTGTAGAAAACCAGCTGTATTTTCTTAAATACAGCTTGAAGCTTTTCATTGACAACCCCTGAAAACGCCTTATTTGAGTACTCTCTCATTGACACCCCCCCCCCGTGAGTTTTTCCTGCAATACAACAGAAATTTTTAATACTCATAATTATGCATAGATTTGGTTCCGGTTGCTGTATACTACAGCATACTTGGTAGAGCTTGGTAAGGGCCGTGAGTATTTGGGCCTTTCACATTAAGTTAAAATTTGCCTTCACTGGCTCAGTGACCTTTTGTCTAAAAGTGGACTGAATGGTTATGATCGCTGGACATTTTTTCAGGCCGTTTAATAATTTGTTGAGATTTCCAGGCTTATAAAGTTTCTTAAGACTATTTAGAATTGGATTTTTTTCTAAGACCTTTAGAAGGTGGAATAAAAATACAAGGCAGAAAGACCTTTGATTGTTTTCTGTTTTCGTCCTTTTTGGGAGGGTGGGTATGGGGAGGAGAACTGCTCATTTCTGATGAAAACTTCTATGCTATTGAAGGTGAGATCTAGTTTGCAGTTCCCAGCTTGGGGCTCAGATTCACTCCAAGATAGTTGGTGCACTGCAGCCGGAGCCTCCAGAATAGACCAGGTAGGCGGCACCGTGGCTGTTCTTCAGGATTTTGGCCAGGAGTTTAGTATTTATACTATGAACAGGGTTTACTTAAGATTCGCTCTTGCTGATGCCCACTGAAGCATACGTCAGAGCGCATTAGAGCAATTTATTTTCTAAGTGTCACTTGAACTATTGAAATATGAAATGCTTCCTTTCCAAATTCAGAAGTAGTTTGTAATCACTACCTTTCCAAAACATTATGAATTTGCATATGGAAAAGAATTGCATACCCGAATTGCGTACTCGCACCTAACTTTAAGCATCCGTCAAACTGAGGTGGTTTCATCTGCCTTCAGAATTACTTGCAGCTAGGTTCAAAGTCTTGTCTTAATGCCCCACTTCATATTTCGCTAATGTTTTGCAGAATCTTTAGTAAATTTTTATCATGATACTTGTATTTGTTTTGAGCGACAGTTCTTAAAACTTACATCATTTCCGTTTTCTCACTTTCATCTAAAACATATGGTAATAGTATTTCTTTATTCTTGATTTTTTGTGACCGCTTCCAGATACTAGCTTCTTCTAAGGAACCAGTTTCCTATGGAAGCTGGGAGTTTCTTAATCAGTTGCTTTCAAGCATTTAAAAAAACCTTCTCTCTCTCTGCAGACTAATGTTGAATGCAGACTGAGTGCCAGAGACTGAGACTTGTTAGTGGTCAAATAGCAAACTTAGTCCTCACACGTGAGGCTCCCTTAGCACAGATCCGAGCTGGAGTGCATGAGCCATGCTGTGGGCGTGGCAGAGGCTGCGCTCGGGCTTGTCACCCTGCGCTGTGGCCTTTCCCTAGTGGTGATGAGTAAGGACTGGATAGATAAATTATACACGTGTACATCTCATTCCAGTCTGGAGTTAGCAGTAATCCACTAGCAGTGGGTTTTACACAAGCCCTCCCTGTATGTCAGAGACCTTCCAGGACCTCCACTTAGAAACGAGTAGCTTACTCATGCAGTGTATAATTATCACCTGGTTAATATGAACTGATTACACATATCTACCTGTTCTTTTCTCCACTCTGGCTCCTTTATGCTAGTGCTTTTTTTAAGATTTACTTATTCATACAGGACTGGGGTGCAGGCCAGAGGTGCAGGGGCGGTGAGAGGATTCAGCAAAGCCCGAGCAGGGAGCAAGACAGGCAGATTGATGAAGTACACTGCCAAGGGGAGCAGCGGGCGGGTCAGGAGAGGTCTGCCGAGCCATGTGGGTCACCTCCCCCCGGGCGGGGATCCAATTCCTGCTGCAGTGGGCTCAGCCTCTCAGCGCTGTGCTTTAACCCGCTGCACCGCCAGGGTGGGCCTGTGCTAGCACTTTTATGTTATTCAAGTTGAAAACCTAAATTCCTCGGAGATCATGTGTTAAAAGTGAAAACTTAAAATAATTGTTTTGAAGATGGCAAGGGGACGTGTTTTTAGGGAGGAAAAGACATGCAAAGAGCATGTGAGGGAGAAGCAAGGGGATGCTGCGGGCAAGGGAGGTACCGTGGTGCACACGCAGGGCAGACTGGCCGCTTTCAAGACCTGTGGCGGGAGCACGTGCAGAGCAAGCTGGTGGAATCCAGGGAGCGTGCAGTGGGGAGGAGGACGGGGCGTGTTCAGGCTGGTCTGCAGCATGCTGGCCACTGCACTGAAGGCCGCCTGCCTCACGTAGGGCCCAGGGCACCAGGGCTTCAGGGCTTGTATCCCTGCCATGAGCTAGGGGGTCCGGAAGAAGAATTTTTGTGCTTACAGTTTTTGTTTGTTTGTTTGGTAAACTGCCGAAGCATTGGCATTCTTTAAGGACTTTTGAACCAGAGATGGGATGGGATGAAGGCAAAGAAAGTGGCTAAAGGAAACTAAGGTGAACTAGAAGGTGTGAAACCTGATGTTCCTCTTCCTCATTGACTCTGTGACTTTGGGTGACCCGGGTATGGGCTTTCCTCCCTGGTCCTGGTCTCCTGTGAAAGGAGGGCGTTGGCTTGGCCTTGCAAGGCCTCCTAGTTGGTCTGTCCTTTCCCCAGAGTGCACAGGTTTGTGGGGCCGGGGCCCACAGTGTATGCCCTTCCAGCTGACATAAGAGCAATGCTGAGGTTTCCTTTGCGTACCCTAAGGGTACTTACTGTACAAAACTGGTTCCGTGTTTTTAGCTTTCCATAAAAGGTTGAGGTATTTGCAGTTGAGGTTCTTCAAAGTACAGCAACGGTTTCAAATTGCTGTTGATATCTTAAGCTTTTGGGTAGGTCCTTACTATTTGGACTAGTTAAAATTAATAGAAAACACTCAAGCACATACATTCATTTATGATTCTTTTATCATGCATAGTATTTTATTATTGAACTTTATTTAGCACAATATTTCAAAACATCTATTTCCTTTAGTTTCAAATTGATTTCACATTTAGATATGAACAAGTAAGTTCTAGAATTGAAATCTTAAGTCTTGTATATGGATACCAAGAGCTGAACTTGTAATGCAGTAAAAGGAAAGAAACAGTTTTGTAGGTTTTTATTTCAGTTGTATGTAAAAATTTTTAAGTTGGCATTTCCTTATTTGAAATAGCTTTTTCCTGGGAAAACTTCAAATTTAAAACTTTTAAAAACAAGTATAAATTGTTACATATATTTCTGACTTTCACAGTAAGTCCTAATGTCAGAATTAATTCCTAGTCCTTAAGACTAAGAAATACTTGCTTTAAAACACTATTAACTAACTCCCTTCTAAGAAATCACACTCAAGAGTATGAATTCTAAATTACCTTGAAATCGAATCTTCAACTAGACATTAATGTTACAGTCTCTTATTAATTTGTGAATACTTTACATCACTGTGCGAGAGTGCAGCGAGGTTATTACCAGTCCAGTGGGCACAGTGCTGTGAGCACAGCAGGTTCACGCCGGGCCGGGTGCCACCCGCCTGGGGGCTGAGACGTCGTCACTGTACTACACTTTTTTCCTCAAGGAAGTTCTGCCTGTAGCTCTTGGGTTTATGTGACATAAACTACTGTGAATTAGTTGGAGACTCTGAAGATCAGGAAATACCTAAACTACTACACTCAAATGATGCGAAAGGGTCAGACTCGGAAAGGGATTGTAATTTGATCATCTTTACTCGCCTCATCCAAAAATCTACAGTAAGGGACCAAGGCCGAGTTTTCATTTAACAGAGCATTGACTCTGACACCACACAGCTCCAGGGACGCCTGTCATCAGCACACCCTCAGACCTGAGGAGGAGGGCGTGGGGCTCCTCTCTCTGTCCTGCCCGGTGTTCAGTCCTCTGATTGTAGGCAAGACGTTCTCACACCGAATATTTTCTACTTGCCTTTCCATTTTTCTTTACTCCTTCCTTGTGGGCACAAGGCCACTTGGGGCCTTTTACAAACAATCTATTTTTTCATGGTCACCGTCATCACACTCTGCTGAGGCTCAGAATAATACAGGAATTGCAGAAATATGTATCACATAAAGGACTTTTCCTAATGACCACTGGGGCTGTGTTGAGGGCACCACTGCTCTCTGCAGCCGTGAAATCCGGGGGGCGGAGGGGCCGCCGAGTGCGGGGCATGCCGCTGTTGGCTCAGGTGTGGCCGCAGCTGTATGGGCAGGAGCCTGGGGTCAGTAGCTGAACTTGAGGACAGCATTCGTACAACCTTGTTTTGTTTTGTTTTGTTTTGTTTTTAAGCAAAAATTAGAGAACTGTATATAAACAAATGACAAAGGTCATCTTTCTATTTAGGCAGAAGCTGGTTCATACATCTTTTAATATGAGGATAGGGTGGCGCTAAAACTCAGCTCTTTCTTTCAGAGACTATATCCTTGTCAAGAAGAAAAGTGTTTCCTTTGGTTACTTCTTTTGATATAGAACATTTCATATGTTCTGGTGACTTTTTATGTGATGTGACTTTAAGTATGTCTCTTCAGAGATAGAACATCCCCTAAAAAGTCCTTTTAATTAAGTTTGAGGTATTTTTGCTGTGCTAATTTAATATTGTTTTTATTCAGTGTTTATGAATTTTTCTCACATCATTCTCTTCCTAATATCGCTTTGTTCTTTATATAGATAGATATTTTAAATCTTTCTAGGATCTTACTGTCACTTCTGCATGTCTCTGTAGCAGATGTCTAGATGTAAGAGAATCGTTTCTCTCCTGAGTGTTCAGATATTGGCCTGTTCATTGTTGTTAGACTTTGCAGTTAGCCCACTCTTTGCCAGGTAGTTTTCATATTCACAGTGCATTGGGGGTAAGCTTTTTCTTACAGAAATTAATTTTTGTGAAGATGCCTAGCTGTTCTGAAAGTCATTAGCTGGTACCAGTGTAAGCTACGTGGCTATGGTTTTCCATAGTTGATGATGCTGACCAGTAATGCTGGGTTTATGGTCACTTACCATAGTTCCAGAATTCTCACTGGAGTTTTAAAACCCATAGCAGTTGCATGGATACAGTTTTTTTTCACAGTTCCCTTTTTAGGCAGACTCTGAGTGTTTCATTACCGGATTTTTGTTTTTGTTTTCAGAACTCTTATTTTAATTCCCATGCTTTATTTCATGGAATTTTCTGCTTATGGAGTTTTGCTTATGGACCGGTAGATTTCAGTAAGTATAGAAAGCAATTTTGAGATGGCATGAGCTCCTGGTGTTCGTGCTTTAAAAGTCATGTGGGAGCAGCTGATGCTTTACAAATGGAACTAAGCTCCGTGTTTAAGTGGCTTTGCTGTCTTTTTTTTGTGAAAGTCAGTTTGCTTGACGAGGAAAGACTTGATAGGAAAAAAAGCAGGCCCTTTAGAGTGGGCAACTCACTGATACTATGCACAAATACATGCAGCACTGCTGGGAAAGGCAGACCCTGGAGTCTGCGGCTCTGGGCTAGCTGCAGAGTTGAGCTAAGAGTGCTCGCTGATATTTATTGCAATTCTTGCTTATATTTTTTCCCTTCTTCCCAAAAATGCTGTCTGTGCCCCATTGACAGTGTTTGTGGAATGCCTCCATTAACTTCACTGTACTCTAAAGGAACGTGGCACTCATCGGTGTGGAGATAGTGGGCAAGAGTGAGAAGTTACGTAGGAAACACCCGCGAGTGGGGATGATTGTCATCACAACGTAGGCTCATAGGTGGCTGGAAATGGGCAAAATCTGATTCAGGTCAGAAATGTCATTCTGGGAGATGACCCTGAACCAGAGAGCCGTACACATTTTCCCTGTGGTGGGGGAGTGAGCTAGTAAGTGTGTCTGATACACCCTTGGGACCTGCGTGATAAAGCCCCTCTGCTGAGATTGGTAGTCTCCTTGCAAGAATAAATTTTATCCTGGTTGTTCAGTTTTTATCATTCTATTTAAATATGCCTTGAACCTTGGAATACAGTGGCACTTACTCTTTCATTGCATGATCGGAAATCCAGTAGAGAGCGAGACCACAGCAGTGCCTGCTGCCTCCGTGTGGCATCAGCCTGATCATCCTTCCCAGTGGCCGCAGAGCTGAAGCTCAACATTTTTGTAAAGTTTTTATGGTAGAGATGCAAAGCAGTAGTCATTCAGCAAACATTTGAGAACTAGTGATACTCTATAATTAGAAAAACTTGAAAGTTTAGTGAAAGAGGCAGGAAAGTCATTAATTAGAGATAAATTAGTTATGAGCCAAGAATAGTGAAATTTATAGACTACTAAATTTATAGATTATAAAAATTTATAGATTACTAAAAACACTGTCACTCTTGCTCAAGGGACTTGCTGGTCTCTAGCTTTCTTCATTTCTTATAAAGTACCTGGAGTCTTGCATTTTAATTCTGTCTATGAAGCGGTTTTGGTTAGGATTTCAAAGTGGGTTATTTGTAAAATAGACCTTTAGTTGTCTGGCATCACTGTTTTTGTGGACGGAGCCAGTCTAAGGAAGCTTAGTCCCTGGAGATGCAACCGCTCAGCGGCCCTCCAGTGAGGTCTCTGGGCCTGCAGCCTCAGCGTCGGACTTGGGGGAAGGGCTGAATCTCGGACCCTGTGCTGGCCTGCAGGTCTGGTGTTTACCAGCCCTCGGCAGGCCTCCGAGGCTCACATTTGAGAACCTTTTTAGCTCTGGTTATCTGAGCCCCTCTGTCAGTCAGGGTCACCGTGAAGAGAGCCGCCCTTTCTCAATGGTGTGTCATGTGTTCCTCACCTGCGAGTCAGAGTAAGCCAGGCGTGCCGAGCCAGCGGCTGAGCGAGAGCCCGGCCAGGCATTCTTTTCATCCTCCAGTGTTACTTTCCACACTTTTAAATTCCTTGTCAGCAACTTGCTTAGTCTGCAGTACTGTTTCTGGCTCCCTCGCCTTAAACTCAAAAAAGCACAATTTAAACATCAAAGTAGAAGAAATCAATGTGTTTTCAGGAAAGCGGCTTATGTTTTACACTAGTTCTGGATCTTACCTGGTTATGGGCCCCTGTGGAAAACTGATAAACCAGTGAGTGAGTGTGCGTGCGCACACACGTGCCGCGTGTCAGTGGGCCTCAGGCTTTTGGGTTTTGTTGAAGCTCGTGGACCCAGATTAAGAAGTACCTAATTGTGGTTTCCGTGGAGACTTCCCCCCTACTTTTCTGATTCTTTCTATTCTTTTTGTGTTAATCATTCTCTGAGAGTGAAAAATAGCTCGCCCGCCGCACCCACCTCTACCCACACTTGCACAAATGCATGCGCTCCGCTCGGCTCTTGCTTGCGCGCTCTGTCAGGGTGGGGTCAGTGCTGACGTATCTTTGGAAAAGACTCCTGGAGGAGTTGGGTGCCGAGGACCAGCGCTCACTGTGGTCGTTCCCTGTTTGCAAGTACCTTGACTGTGTGTTAAGCTGAAAGCAGTTTCACTTCATAAGTGTTCAAAACTCAGATTCTCCCTAGTAGGCAAGTAAACACACACACATTGTTCTGAGAAGGACAGGGTGGGGACTTCCCCAGACCAGGGGCTCCCCTCCTCACCCACCTGCCTTTTTAGTAGGAGGCTGGAGGGGAGGGAGGGTGTACGTTAAAATTGGAGATGAATGTGAGGAATTTGAAGAGCTACAGGGTGTTCATATTTGTTCTGATGCTAGTGTTTCATGTTTTTAATCTTTGTGCATTCATTGTGGAAATTTTGGATAAGTCAAATAACATGCATGGTTTGATAGATGTTTAAAGTATGGTGCAATAACAGAACCAAGTCTCTCCCCTCAAATACTTATTTTTCAACTGCCAGTTTCTGTCTTCCTAAATATGTACAAAAAGTTTAGAAGTTAAATAACAACTGAAAATGCTTTCTGTGTATGTAACATTTCTAGAATCTGTATAAGAATGATAAAAAATATTTTTTTTTTTTTGCTTCTTGCTTTAATACTGCCAATGAAATAAGGTTATTTTTAATTTTTTGGAGCTAACTGTATTAAATATGTTGTCCTCCAGTGCATAAGACCCTTAGTTATTGCTATTATTTTTGGGTACAAGCTGATTAATAACAGTAAGATGTCCTGTTTAAAGAATTTTGGATGTACATTTTTTTTGAGATATTGCATAGATTATAGAGTTTTTCTTTCCTTCTCTTTCAGGATCGAAGTCGAATGTATGACAGTTTGAATATGCACTCTCTGGAAAATTCCCTCATTGATATTATGAGAGCAGAGCATGATCCTCTAAAGGGTAGGTGATTTTAGAAAAAAAAAAAAAATTACTGTCCACCAATGTGCTTATTACCACTTATATGAAAATGAAGATTAAAAAGCACCTGTGTTACCTTATTAATAAGTAGTTTTGGTTTTGTGAAATGCCATACTGTTTCCTTTGCGGCTTATTGTTTAGATTTATACAGAAGTTTAGATCTGTCTCTTGTAATTTGGAAAAAAAAGCCACTGTTTAGAGAGACTTCACAGGTAACCAAAGGGTAAAAAATGGATCTATAATTGTATGTGTTAGTCACTTTTCTAGAGCTCTGTCAAATGTGGAAATATTTTTAAAAGCTCCTTGGGGCCCAAATCGGGGTAATAACAACCTCAACTTTTTGAGGTTAACTTCTTTATATGCCTCCTATTGTCATGTCTTAATAGTTTGGGAGAGAATATTTTACAGTAGCTTCTCTGAGGTAGAGAAGAGCCTGTTGTAAAAATCGGGACAAATGAAAACCAATAGGCAGCCACAGAGGTCTTCGGATATTAGAGTAACTGTTAGACTTGTCTGCAGAAGGCCCGCTAGCATGCGTATGCGTAGCCTGCTAGTAAAGGTCTTGCATTTCTTTATGCAGTAGAGCTCACTTAGATTAGCAGTGGAAACCCGGAAAACTGTGGCCTTAAGTGCTGAGAGATCGCTGTTACCGCAGCCCCACCACCATGAGTTACCTGGCCCCGGCACTGAGGACCACAGCATGCTTTCTGCCTTTGGGGTTGAAGAGGGGTGCTGGCGTGGGAGCTTTCACTGAACTGAATCCATGGTTGCTCTGTAGACACTGCATGTTTCATTTTAGAAAGCCAAATTAGAACTCCCTGGCAAGATTTAGCATGAAAGCCTTCTAGAACCTCAGTGCTGGCAGCAGGGTGGTGGCTCAGGGCTAAGTTGGCAGTACTGACCAGAGAGTTAAACATTTTGTTCTGTGTCTGAATTTTGCTTGTAAAGGAGTGTCTTGTCTTTCTAACTTATTTTCAAGGAGCTCAAGAAGTCCATAGTGATCATTGATGTAGTGAGACTGGTAATTCTCACAAATTCATAGAGACATGCTTTTCAGTGGGGCTGTGGGGGTGAAGGTCTCCAAAAGCAACCTAGGTTTTGAGTGTCCATACCCTGGAGTATTGTTCTCTGTCACCGTGTGCTGGTCCTTCCTGTGGCGTTGGTCTTGGGCCCACTGTTGGAGACTTGAAGCCAGCACTTCATGGTCATGAACATTCCCTCAGTTTACTGTCTTGGTATCTCTAAAAAGAAAGCTCTTACCAATAATAGCAGATAAACTTGTCATTAACTATTACCAGGGTAACAGAGTTTTCCGTTGATCTTTTTCCCAGCCTTCTCTCTGTAGGTCTTTTGAAGATGTTAAGAGAAAACTTTCTCTGTTGCATTCTTAAATGGCTCTGTTTTTCTTTTTTCTTGTTTCTTGGCTATGTTATAGTAAAAGTGGAGGGAAACCAAGAGAGGAATCTTTGGAAAAGAAAGTGGAAGCAGCGTAAGGCTAAGAGGAAGTTGACCATTGTTGGGGGTGGGGGGGGGAATCTCAAGTGAATTAAAAATTCTTTTGTTAGAAAGATTACCCATGGCCATGGAAAGTGGGGAGTCGTCATGGTGACAGTGCTCTGCTTGGAGTTGAAGTATTTTATGTTCCACATTCACTGTGGGAGTAAAAAGAAAGCTCGTCTGAGAAGTCTACATAGGATAAGGGAAGACTGCACTGCCTGGGTTCCTCACGAACCCGTGTGCATGGCCAGGACGCCCCGAGCTGCCACTTGGTTTTCTCTTCTGGTTACTAGAAGCAGTCCTCTGCCCGCCGGCCGGCGTCACGCGCCCTCAAGCGCCTCCTCTGGTCTCTCTACCACACTAGGCCTAGAGGTGACTGAGAGAGGAGACCTGTCCTGAGTTCCCCATTTCCCCCCGGATTTCTAGGCCAGTACTTCAACCTCTCCCATCTCTCCTCTCTCACTGTTTCATCCTCTCAGAAAAAATTATCCTCTGTTTAACAAAGATTTTTTTCTGAAACATAAAAAAATCAGATGAGGCCCTCCCTGGTGGCGCAGCCGGTTAAAGCACAGCACTGAGAATGTAAAGCCGCTTCCGCATGAGTTCGATTCCCGCCTGCCCCGGAGGTGACCACATGGCGTGACAGACCTCTCCTGACCCGCCCGCTGCTCCCCTCAGCAGTGTACTTCCTCCATCTGCCTGTTCTGCTCCCCACTCTGTCTCTGGTGAAGCCTCTCACCGCCCCTGAGCCTCTGGCCTGTACCCCAGTTCTGTATGCACAAATAATAAATCTTAAAAAAAAAAATCAGATGAATATTAATTCTCTTAAAATATTTCCCCCAAAAAAGCTTCATCTTCCTTATGCCATCCATTGAAAAAGAAGGGAATTGTAGGGCATTTTTTAAAAATGAATTTTCTGTTTCCCTTTATATTGATACTGAAAGTTTCTAGAAAATTTTGTGTGAACTTGAATGCTGAGAGGTTACCTATGACTGTGTAACAAAATTACCCTAAATGTAACAACTTCAGATAGTAATAAGCACATTACCTCACACCCTTTCCCTGGATTTGAATAAAGGCAGAGCAGTTTGTCTGGTGGGTTCTGACTGAGGATCAGGTACGATAGCCTCGAGACTGAGCCTGCTGTCAGTCGTGTGCTGGTTTAGCTGGGTCTGGTGGGCCCTGCTCCCAGACGGCTCCCTACCATGCTGGCAGGAGAAGTTGACCCACACCCACAGGATCTCTCCTCAGGGCTGTTGGGGTTTCTTCTAAGTGCAATTGGCTGGCCCCTGGGGAAGGACCATCCACTTGACGCTAGTGCCCTTGAAGCGCTGTCTCCCTGACCTAGCTCAGAAGTGTCCAAGCACAGTTGCAATGACACCCCAAGAGCTCTCAGACGTGGATGTGAGGATGCAAGGGTCCTTGGAGACCAGTGTGGAGACCAGCTTCCCTAGCAGAAAAGCAGAAGCTAAGTTTGCACTCAGTTCCCCTTTGCTAAAGGGAACGAGGTCTCTGGAATCCAGTCAGTCAGTGGCGAAGGACAGAAGAACCTCGCCTTGCCCATGAAGGCCAAGTCCTCCTAGAGCTGTTTCCGCTTTCCCACTCCCCAGTAGTGTCTGCAAGTCAATAGGGAGCCCCACAGTTCCACATTAAGGCTTTTCAGTCTAGCACAGCAGGTGGGGAGAGTCTGGTCTCCTTGGGGTCTGCCGATGAGAAGCAGGGCGAAAGGTGGAGCTGTGACTGCGTTGTGAGCCTCTCGTGTCCGGTCCTGGCCCAGCTGCGTGTTGTGTGAAGCAGGCTCCTTGTCCCTGTGGATGTAAGTGACCTGGCAGGTCCCTGGTAACAGTCACGTCACTCAGCATCATTTTGTTACAATATTGATAGTGAAAAGGGAATCTTTCCAGCGACACTGAAGACAGTGCTACCTGAGGACCTGGCTTTTTGTTGCTCGTGGTTTTGATGAGTTTCCAAGAAGTCCTGCCACCTGCATTAGGTGAGGACTCCTGCGTACAGATGACTCTGCGGAGCTAGGATTCGCTGTAGTGAGAAGGAAAGGTACTTGGGCGGAAATACAAGGGAGCCCCGAGTTTAGGCGTGGCATGAAACTGCTGAGCCTGAAGCCCAGGCAGCTCAGAAGGCCGGGGAGTAACACTGGCCAGGGGCTGGGGGGGCCACTGAGGAACTGAGGCAGCCTCATCCTGGCGGGGCGTGGGCGCCCTGTCCTGCGGCCCTCACCTGCCCAGGAGCTGCTGCCTGGCTCAGCACAGCCTTGCCGGCGGGGCGCTCCCCAGCGGCCCCCTTGGGCAGCAGAGGTTTCTCACTGTGGCCTCCCTGTTCCTCATGGCAGTCTTGATCCTTTGCAGCTTTTTTTTCCCTTTCAAAGGAGAACAAATACGGATTCTTGTAATGGTCAGAGTAAATCCTGCCTTGTCAGCTGTGGTTGTGTGCAGATTGGTATTTGTATACCTACCTTCAGTAATCTGATGATTTTGTGTGTGGGTCTGTTCATTCCCCTTTAAACAAAGGAACAAGACAGCATTGTTAAACTCTCCTCCTTCCCCACCCCCAGGATTTGCAGAAAGGCCTTACTGTGTAAGCATTTTTACAAAAATTGCTTACCCCTTCTTCAAAGTGTAAGGGCAAATAAAAAGAAAATAATTTCAGCTCATCGAGGCTGATTGGAAGCTGTGGGAAGAGTTCCCATCACAGGCCTGGGTGGCTCCGCAGTCAGTCCCGGCCTTCACCCAGGTTCCAGGGCCAGAGAAGGGACTGGGGAGAGGGGCCGGGTCCTGGGGGCGCACGCGCAGGCTGCCTTCGGCATGTGTGTGTCGGTGTAGTGGTCACTTTATGGCCTGGTTGTTAATGCTGCTGTTTTCTTAGATGCCTGAAGAATCGTCATTAAGGCAGATCATCTCTGAGGCCCTCAGGGCTCCCTAGGGCGCACCAGGTCGGCTGCACAAGCCAGTCTGCTCTGTCCCCGCTTTCCTCTGCCCTCTGGGTGTCTTCACCTGAGTTGATAGAAGTTTGCAGTACAAAGTCACAAAATAACTTGAATAATTTTCCAAAATAATTCTAAAAGTCTAATTTTCTAAAAGTCTTTAGTCAGGTGGAGATCTTATGTTTTGAGCTTAAGAACTTTTGAACTGAGCCCAGGCGGTGACGGACACCCCCCCCCCCCCCCAGAGGCTGCTGGCCGGCTCCAGCTGCTGCGAGGTTACCAGCATTTGAGAGGACGCTGCAGAGCGCAGCCCCTTGCCGCCACCCACGAAGTCAGAGGCCACAGCCGCGCCCGCTAGCTTGCAGAGCTCTCTGGAGGGGCTTCAGCTCTCAGAACTGGCCCTCCTCTCCACCCACTTCATTTCCTGGAGTTAGTATTTTCTCAAGTGCCAAAAAAAAAAGTAGATGAAAATCACTATTACACTGTCAAAAAATAAAAGTGGGGATCACTTTGTCAATAAGACCTTCCCTCTAGGTCTAGAAAGGGC